GAGCTTTCCAATCGGGTACGAATGAGAATGATTTTGATGATCGTAATGATCGGGGAATGACGATTTCATAGGTAAACTGTTCTTGCTCGACCGTGTCTAAAGAAAAATTAATTAATTAATATAATATATTTCTTTTGCCAAAATAAACTTAATCTTCTAATTAATTATTGATTAAAAAAAAACAAAGTTAAATCCTGCAATGTTATTCAGTTTTCTATCGTATAAACGATTTTTATCTAAATACAACATTTGATATAATACATTAGCAAGAGAAATCGATCAGTAATGCTTATTCGATTTGTTTATATGTATATATATATATATCTCAGCGTGTTAACAACTTTTGTATGTTAGTGTTTCATTAGAATAGGCATATATATGTGCATTGACAGTAATGATCATTAATCATGTTTAACCTTGTCCTCATGAAATATACGAGTACACATTTTTATACAATATTCCTTATCGTTGTTAGAAATATATGCATTTGCAATGTTTTCTTTTATTCCGCCTGATTGCGTTTGCTTGCGCATGAGTCCTGTTTAATCGTTCTTTTTTTTCATTATTCATGTTGTTGATGAGAAAAAAAACGACTCTGTCTCCTACATATTTGCATATGTGTGATCGTTTAGATATTTACAGATAGTTAAAGACGTCAATGAAAAACTGTGTTTTTTCTTTATATATATATATATATATATATATATAAATTACATTGAGAGTAAATAAATATGTATACAGTTTATTAGAACAAAATAGGTGTACTTGAGTATTTTGTCCTTCGATATTTTATATGGCTTTATCGAATAGACGGATTAGAAAGCGTGAAAGATGATATTTTTTTTATGAATTGATTTCTAGGCAATTGTCTGTTCTATTGGTAATACTAACGATAACGGTGCCTTGACTATCTTACAGATCTCTAATGATTATTTATTTGTATTGCGCGGACATTTGCAATAGCGTGTCGAATAGCGACTGACTTCTGCCCGCAAAGATCAGTCGTTTGTTATCTTTCGTAGCAAGTGTTCTGTTTCACAAAATAAAAAAACGAGAGAAAAGAAAAAAACGAAGAGCAAGATGGTACACGTAGATGAGATCGAGTTTTTTTAATGTTCGCATAACGTTTCTGTATATCGTACAAAGGTCATCTTTTGTTTTTCTCTCACTTTGGACTTAAATAAAAAAAAACTCTTATTCTTTTTTTTAAATGTGCAACGTAATCATGTATCTACTTGTCAATGTGTACATATGTTATCTCAGCGACAGCAATAGCAAACACTTCTCTTGTTGAAGGTTGCCGTCAAGTGCAGCATTTTTGGAGACAAATGTAATTCAGATTTATTTGACCTTTGTGTAAAATAGGAAGAAAAAAGTGAGTGAGAGAGAGAGAGAGAAAAAAAAAAGATATATTTTGCCACTCGAAACCGTTTATTTCGAGGCGTAACGTAGGTTTGTAGTAACGTCTCATGTAACTATCAAACGTGCGCATACAAAAAAAAGAAATACATTCGTTGCGTGTGGAGGTCGTTGAAAATTGTACAGTAGATGCACACGAATGAACATATTAACTGAATATTCGAAGTAAAAGAACGTTAGAAAAAAAGAGAAAAAGGAACATACACATTCAATAAAAGAAAAAAAAAGTAAATACGTAAGACGGAAGCAGATCAAAGCACTTGACAACTTCGTCCCTGAAGATGAAAATCAGTTTTTATGAGCATTTATGTGAATGTGTATGCCAAGCAATGAAAATTCATAGATATACACTTATATATACGTGTAGACACGCCTCTTATCAAGTGCCTGTGCATGCATTTTATTACATAATACAAGGAAACTGACATCATTCTAATTGATTTTTATATTGCCAATCAAAACCAATGAAGATTTTTTTTTATATGTGAATCATCTTCTGTATACAATCACCAACAACATTGATGGCAAGGTTTTATCTTGTTTGTCATTCCAGACAACAAGAGTTTATCGTTTCTATTTAGCATTAGCCTTCATGCTGACACCCTCATTTTGTCGAGGGAAAGTGTGCGTGTGTGTGTGTGTATGCAGGCATACCAAAAAACATTGTCTTAGAAGATAACAGACAAATAAACTAAATGTCGAGACATTCGAATGCCTGAGAATCGCTTTTTTATGGGAATATTATTCTTTAAAATATTTTTTCATTATCTTTTATATATTATTATGAAGTATAACTAAAGCAAGATTATTAAGTTAGTAGAAATCAATCAAAAGCAAGCAAAACGCACGTTCTTTCTCAAGAGAATAAAACTTCTTCCAAAAATATGATGTGAATATGTCTTATCAAGGTGACATAATCTTGATTAAGATTAAATGCTATCAGAGAAGAGCGATGCATATTTATATATCCATGTATGTGGCAAGCTTTCTTCTCTTTCCTATCAGACTCGAGCGGTTTTTTTTTTGACACATCAATCGATTGCGGTTTGTATGTCAATCATCGAAAACTAGCGAGCAACAGTTGCTCTGATCGATCGGTCGATTGATCGATGTACATTGAATGTATAGATAAACAAAAAAAAATCAAGATATTTTCTTTTCGTGTGATCCCCACGCTTGTTGTCTCACTTAAAAAACGTTACTACAGCTACCTTACATTTCAATGACAAGATTTGTATGTGAGATTTTCTTTCTACCCTTCAAAAGGCTATTAATGTTGTTGTTGTTGTTGCACCCGAACGAGTGTCATTAACCACCGTTTATGCTTATGTCTTTTTCTTCTTCAAGACAACATCATCACAACGTAACACTTCTCACCAGTAGAAAAAAAACAGAAGCAAAATAACGTCTAGCAATAAAATGGTGACATATCGTTACCAAACTCCCTCAGATTCCTTCAAGGCTGCCAGTCGTGCTGATTCATGTATATATATATACATATATATATATAATATATAATATAATATATTATATATATATATGTATATTTATATCTGTATATCGGATTTAATCACGAGTCGGCAATAAGAGAACAAAAGGAAGAAAAAAAATGTGAAGAAGGAAAACACCACATAATTACTAAATTGATATAGATCAAAGATCGTATTACATTATTATATCACCTTATGGCATACCGGCACTTAAGCTGCTTTTACATTACATATAACTGCATATATATATACATATATCCATCAATGTATAGCTAAATCCGTAAGAATAAATAGTGACGGTTTCTCAATGTTATCTAAATAATTCAATTTAATAAAGAACAATACTTACTTGTCGTTATTATTGAGCTAGTTTGAGTAATGATCGAGTTTGACAAGGATGACGGTAACGAGCAAAGAACAGTAGTAGCAATAGCGACGAACACCATAAAGATGTCGAAATGCATCTCAAGCACACCGGCTCACTCAGAAAATTATGGGCGTTCCGACTGGTCGCCGTAACGACTGTGACAAGTAAAACGTAACGGCAACAGACTGAGAAAAGGCTGTTGTGGTGATTTCTGTGGGCCGTTGACATCCATCAGAGACTCTAGAAACACACCAGCGCTTCCCAATCGAAGAAGATGGGACGCAAAGTCGGTCGCACGAGAGAGTGAGAGAGAGGGAGAAAAAAGAAAACAACCACAAGAGGGCAACCACAAGAAAGAAGAAAGAGGAGAGAGAGAGAGAGAAGCAGAGCAAAACACCCGACTAAGCGAGTATTCGACAACGCAAAAAAAGCCGGAGAACGAATGAAGGAAAGACAGACAAAGCGAGAGAAAGGAAGAGGTTCTCTTTTTTCCTGTACAGATACCAAACACATTTTTTAGTCTTTCTCTTTTTCTTCTTTTTTTTTTTATTGCTTTCTCCTTCTCGCGGTACGTTTTGTTTTTTTTCACAATTACTTCGTCGCTTCGTTTTTGCTATTCGCTGTCTGTGACCACACCAGCAACAAAAAACAAGCTACAGGTCGGCACAAGAGCACCAACGAAGTAGAAGCCTAAAAAAACACACACACACACGCACGCAAGAAAAAACAAAAAGGGTTAAAACGAAATACAAAAAAAAAACAACAGGAGACGAATATTATGTACGTGCATATGCATAAATGCACGCATAAACTATTAGAAAGACCAATTTTCGCCAATGTCCTTGTTATTGTTATTGTTTTTCGAGCCTTTATTTAATTCTTTTCTGTTTTACGTCACACATTCTCTATTAGAGCGTCACTTCACCTTTCCTAAATGCACACTTGACAATTTATGGTAGAGGGTTTCGTTTGTTTCAATGTACTATTACTGTTCGGATTTATTTCACTTAAAAGCAGCTGTATATCGTATATTTATGAATGAGAATCCAGGGTATCATTATTCATTATTATTATTATGAAGTCGTGGGTGCATAAGAAAAAAATATATACATATAGAAGTCTTGACGCTGCTATCCGGCTGATAATTCTTCTCCCCTATATGACATAAAGAAAAGAAGAAAAGAAACAATATTCTTATGGCAAGAAATAGGAAATGTTCTAATCGTTGTTACTTCGGTACAAATCATCTTGTTGGATAAAAAGCAAACGTTCTTTTTCTGTATATCTGTATGACAGAAGACTGTCTTGTAAAACAGTTCGCACAAAACCGTCAGATGTTTTCTATTAAGATTGACTTCTTCGTTTATACGCTTCTTTCCGGCGACTAACGACAAGGACAGAGACGACTGGTAAAAAAATCTATAATAGCCAGGGAACTAATGTACCAGAAGAAAAAATAAGAAAAAAAGTCTGCTGCCATAATTGATGAAGATCGATGAAGAATTACGAAATCTATAAGATTACTATCCCCCCCCCCCCCCCCCCCCCCAAAAAAAAACAAAGAGAACAAACAATATGTACATGCCATTTTCTTGTGTCCAATGTACATTTTTATTTTCAAGATAAGTCATACACATTCACAACACTCATACCACACACAGAAACACAAAAAACAACTATGTACAAATATATATATATATATATATACGTATTTAAAGCATCGATTAACATTCCCAATCATAAGATTCATAAGGATCAACCAGAAATGGTGAATGTAGAGATGGTGTCATTGATAGAGAAACACCTTCATCGTTTTCATTATTATCATCATTATCCTCATCATAGCTCATGTCAAAACTATCAAATGATGTTGATGATGAGGATTCAGATACGCCATTGTGAACATCATCTTCGGATGATTCCTTTTCTTTATCATCATTACTGAAAATAATATAAAACAGATTGTATTATGATGAACACAATAAAAATGAGCTAGAACTTAAAAAACTTACTTTTCATCTTTAACTTGAACAGAAACTTCTTCCAAGTGTAAATCACCATATTCTGATTCATCATCATTGTCCTTGAGAATGTGGTCTCTATACGTTTTAGCTTCACAACCGATGCACCCACATGCTTCATAGCCTAATGGTGCCTTTGTTATATTACTTCTTGGCCATAATGGAAGACCAATATCAACTAATTTTCGGGAGAATGGTAACATATACTATAGAAACAAAACATAGTATTTGACAAAGTCGAAAAATATAAGTTGATACTATTTACCTGTCCATTTTTATTTAACTTTAACAAGGCTATCATTTTTCAACGATAACTATAGTTTGCCTAGAAGACACAAAAAAATTACAATGTTTGCAATACTCATTGAATTTTGTTTTCCTCTTGCTGGTCCTTGTATTGGTATAGGCCGACGATCGACGATATCTTTTCATGAACGAACAACAAATGACATGTTGAATTAAAGTAAAATGGTGTTCAATTTTATCAGTATATCTGAAACGGATTGAAAAATGATATGTATATAATTTGATACTTATAAAATTGAACACCATTTTACTTTAATTCAACATGTCATTTG